ATGCGCGCCGAGACTTTGCAAGTGTTTGCGGGGGGGGGTGGCTGTGGCGGCAGTATGAAGGACCCCTCCTCCCTCACGTACCGGCTCGACCGGAAAAACCCGATCCGCCCGGAACCGGTTCACTCGGCGGCGGCAGCAGCATCGAGCAATCGCCTCCTTTACTAACAGCAGGGCACTTGTCTGAAACCTACCTGAAGCAAATCATCAATCCGACTTCTCCTTCAACGACGACGGATTTTTTTATATAATTAAAAAAACGGAACCGGTGAGCGACAGTTGTTGGGGGGGGCAATGAAGAAGGTCGGTTGCGATCACCAGAGCAGAGCAAATCCAACAAACCGACCGATTCACTCCGATTAGAACATCCGCCTCAACCCCCGCCGACGGCTATGAGTAAGACCCGCCCACCGATCCCGTGCCGCGTCCTATTGGTTCCGCCGTCCGCTACCCTTTGCCCGATTGGTGGGATCCACCTGTCAGTCATTCCCGTCAGTCTCCCCTACCCCCTCCCCCTCCCGAAGGATGAGTTGTCGTTGCCAGTCACCGAATATTCTCGTTCTTCGTGGTGAAGGCCGACAATGGTGCATGTACACCCGCACCCCACAGTATATTTGCGTACGTGTTCTTTTTTTTCTCCCACTCCCCCCCCCACCTCTTGTAAAATCGCTCTTGAGGCGGCCACGTCGCTCTTGCTCATCGTGAATGGCCGGCCCCCGCGTCGAGGTTTTAGTCCACCAAAGGACGAGTTATTTTCAATGTACAAGGCAGGGAAACAGACCCTTCAGTCCACAATCCCAAACTAAACTAGACCTACCTACCTGCCTGCACTTGGCCCATACCCCTCTAAACCTTTCTTATTTATGAACTTCTCCAAATGTCTTCTAAACATTGTAACTGTACCCATCCACCATCCTCTGGCAGCCCATTCCACGCACGAGTGTGTACGAAAAAAAGCTGCCCCCGTGCTTTTTTAAATCTTTCTCCTCTCACCTTAAAAAATACGGCCCCTAGTCCTGAAATCCCCAGACCCTAGGGGATTCACTTTAGCTCTATCCCTCATGATTTCATAGACCCCTATAAGGTCACTCTCAACCTCCCACGCTCCAGTAAAAAAAATCCCAGCCTTTGGACTCTATATCTCAAGCTCACAATTCCTGGCAACATCCTCGTAAATCTTTTCTGAATTCTTTCCGATTTAATAATATCCTTCCTATAGCAAGGTGATCAGAACTGGGCATAGTACTCCAGAAGAGCCCTCACAAACATTTTGTGCAACATCAACACGACATCCCAACTCCTAACCTCAAATGTCTGAGTGATGAAGGCAAGCCTGCTAAATGCCTGCTTAACTACTCTCTCTATATGTAGTGCAAACTTCAAAGAATTTTGTACATGTATCCCTCAGCTCTCTGGTCTACAACACTGCAGAAGGCCTTACTTTTAATTCCATACATCCTGCCTGTTTTTTTTCAAAATGTAGTACCTTGCATTCATCCAAGTTAAATTCCATCTGCCATTCCTCTTGATCCATATCAAGATCTCTTTTTGTAGTCTTAAATAAGCTTCTTTACTGGCCACTATACCACCAACTTTGGTGTCATCCACAAACTTATTAACCATCCCTTCTTTATTCTCATCTAAATAATTTATATAAATGACAAACAAAAGTGAACCCAGCATTGATCCCTATGGTACACCATTGGTCACAGGCTTCCAGTCTCAAAAACAACCCTCCACTACAGTCAGAGAGAGCAAGAACTGCAGACGCTGAAGTCCGAGACAACACAGTATGGAGCTGGAGGAACACAGTGCGCCAGACAGCATTAGAGGAGCAGGAAAGTTGACTTTTCTGAAGAAGGTCCCGACCTGAAACATCAACTTTCCTTTTCTTCTGATGCTGCCTGGCCTGCTGTGTTCCTCCAGCTCCACACTGTGTTGCCACCACCACAGTCTCTGTCTCCTGCTGTTTATTCAGTTTTGTATCCAAGTGGCAAGCACACGCTGAATCCCATGTGATCTAACTTTATGAATTAGTCTACCATGCGGAACCTTGTCAAAGGCTTTACTAAAGTCCAAATAAACAATGTTTACCGCTCTGCCCTCTTTAGTCTTTTTGGTTACTTCCTCAAAAAACTCAATCAAGTTTGAGAGACATGATTTCCTTCGCACAAAACCATGCTGACTATCCCTAATTATTCCTTACTACTACAAATGCAAATAAACCCTATCTTTCAGAATCACCTCCAACAACTTACCCACCGAAGTCATACTCACAGGTCTATAGTTCCCAGGTTTCTCCTTACATCGTAAAATATATGCATCCTTCCCCTCCAGCCATCTGAATCGTTGTTGTTGAACTCTAATGCTGCTCTTTTATTCAGTTCTCATGATACTGTGCATATATTTCTTTCAGTAGACATCGAATAATAGCTCCAACTTGAATTTAACTTAATAATGGGCACGGTTTGATTTACTGGATCTGAAGTGTTAACTTGGCTTTTTCTCCACAGATGCTGCCAGACCTAAGTTTTTCCAGCAATTTCTGTTTTCATGTTTGATTTTTATACTGCTCAGAGTATACCAAAATTGACACTTGAGAAAATTTCGTATAAAAACCATAAGATAAATGAAGAGGGATTCAAAATTGCATCAGTAAAAAGAGCTGTTAGAAAGTGACAACCAGATGTCAGTATTTTTGTTTATCCATGGGCAGCAAAAGACTTCGTGATTTATAAGAGTTTTATTGTAAACCTACAGTTTGGCACAAACACCAGTTTCCGTATTTCCCTTTTCAGAAGCTAACTCACTACTGGAGCAGGACCCAGATATTTTTGTATAAATTAAACCCAACTACCAAACAAAGGACTGGGGATGCTGAAAATCTGCAATAAATGCAAAAATTGCTGGAGCAACCTAGCAGGTCTGGCAGTATCTGTGAGGAGAAAACAGAGTCAATCTTTCAGATTCAGTGACCCTCCTTCAGACCAAATTATCCAATCGCCCGATAAACAAATTACAAACACTTGGGTTTGGAGGAATATGGGCCAGGAGTAGGCATGTGGGATTAGTTTAGTTTGGAATTATGTTCGGCATGGATTGGTTGAATCAAAAGGTCTATTTCCATGCTTTATGACTTGATGATGATGACTGATGACCAAGGGCAGTGTGACAATAAAAGAAATAGATCAAAATAGTGTTATAGGGGAAACGTGAATTTCAAAGTAATCTTATACATCTGGAACTGGGTAAATTTTAATTAAAATATCATTAGTTTTCTAATTGCATAGAGCTAATTTGTGAAAAAAGCATGGTTAAAATGCTGGCTGATAGGAACAGGCTAGAGACACAACAGTAAACAGTAATCATCCTATTGCCCTTTAACACCATCCTGTCAAATGCTTGTTAAATGGGCAAGGTTCAAATCCAAGTAAGGTACGTTCCCATACAGCCTGTGAACAGTGAACTTAAGCTAGAAAGCATAGCGTGGGAACTGTGAGTTGCCAGTGTAAATGTGCTCATCTTTCCCTTCACAACATTCAGAATCACACAGCAATTAAACGACAATGTCTCTTTATATAGTGCCTTTAACAATATAAGATATCGCATGGTGTTGAACAGGAGCATGATCAAACAAATCTGATATTGAGCCACATATGAGGATATTATGGAGATTACCAAAATCATGATCAATTGCTCAATTCGGATGAATAACTTTCTTCAGCCTTTCACGTGGCATTCAGTAAACATTGCAGTATTTGTCATGTGGTGATGTTACGATGTACTATGTTACATTATTATGTAACGACATAACTTTTTAAAATGCTTGTGCAAAGCTGTGGGTGTTTTGCTGACCTTTGGAATTCAGTATGGTAGTATCAGTTATCAGACTGTCATCAGCAATGGGGATGTGGCTATTGCCTGCTGTTTTCAGAAAAGCTCAGAGATTGAGTGGTTTGTGAAAGAGAGCATAAATTTAGATTTGCTTTAAAATCTAAAAGCTGTAACATTTAGAGCTGCCATAGTAAACATGTTTCACAGGGATTTCTCCACCCTACATTATTATGTGCAATTAGCATTGAAAATGTTTTCAAAATGTAAACCTCCCAGCTTAGCAATTTTTCAACAGAAGTTACAAAGATAATCATTGATCTGATTCAAAAACCGGCATTATCAGTATAATTATTTGAAACAAAAACACAGTAGTTTGCTGGAAACATTATGTTCTAGCAGCATTTGTAGAGAGAAATGTTAACATTTTGAACACCTTCATCAGAACTGTCTGAACCATTGTCTTTTGCTTTAAAGTTTTGGCAAAGCTCAGGTTGTGGGTGAGGTTGTTGACTTGCTCGGCTAGCTGGCTTGTTCTCATTCAGAAGCTTTGTCACCGTGCTAGGTGACATCATCAGTGGAGCCTTCGGTGAAGCGATGTTATTCTACTCTGCTTGGAATTTATACCGTTTGGTCCATTATGGTGAGTAGTATCATTTTGATCTGTATGGATTTGTATATGAGATCCAATTCTGTGTGTTTCTTGATTGCATTATGGGTGGAGAACCATGCCTCTAGAAATTCCCGTGCATGTCTGTGTTTGGTTTGGGCTACTATGGTTACCTTGTCCCAGTTAAACTGATGGCCTTCATTGTCTGAGTGTACCGATATTAGGGAGAGTTCGTCGTGCCGTTTTGCTGCTAGCTGATGTTCATGTATTCTGATGGCTAGTTTCCTTCCTTCTGTCCGATGAAATACTTGTGCCAGTCGTTGCATGGTATTTTGTAAACCACGTTGGTTCTGTATGTTGTGGGAATGGGGTCTTTAATCCTGGTATGTGTTTGTCGTAGGGTGACTGTGGGCTTGTGGGTCACCATGATTCCTAGTGGTCTTAGGAGTCTTGTTGTCAGTTCGGATATGGTCTTGATGTATGGCAGTATGGCCAGTGTGTTAGGGCGTACTGTGTCCTTCTGTTGCTGTCTGTTCAGTAGGCATCTGCGATGAAGTTGCGGAAATAGCCGTTTATACCTATACAAAATCCTCGCTATAAATAGATATCCCCGCATCTTCATCCGCAGCTGCCTACTAAACAGACAACAACAGGAGGACACAGTATGCCCTAACACACTGGCCATACTGCCCTACGTCAACAACATATCGGAACTGACATCCTAAGACCACTAGGAATCATGGTGACCCACAAGCCCACAGCCACTCTACGACAAACACTTACGAGGATTAAAGACCCCATTCCTACAATGTGCAGAACCAACGTGGTTTACAAGATACCGTGCAACGACTGCCACAAACATGACATCGGACAGCCAGGAAAGAAAGTAGCCATCAGAATATATGAGCATCAGCTAGCAGCAAAACGGCATGACGAACTCTCCTTAATATTGGTACACTCAGACAATGAAAGCCATCAGTTTAACTGGGACAAGGTAACCATAGTAGCCCAAGCCATACATAGATACACACGGGAATTCCTAGAGGCATGGTTCTCCACCCGTGATGCAATCAAAAACACACAGAATTGGACCCCATTTACAAACCCATACAGATCAAAACCGGAAATGACACTACTAACCATAATGGACCAAACAGTATAAATTTCAAGCAGAGTA